CAGTCGCTAGTTTTTCTTTTAAACGAGTGGTGTTGATTTACTGGTAGGCGTACATAATAAATTATAAATAGCATTTGTATAGCGCATGTCCCCACTTGAAAGCAAGCTCTATGCGCTTCACTCTATATTTTTACCCCAGCAGACCATAGAACACTCAGAAACATTCTCAGCTTCCCGAGAAGCTTAGTGCAAGCAGCTGGTTAAGCGTTCAAACACTAACAGACTGACAAGATCTTTCACCGTCTATAGCCGGGTACCCATTCCCACCTGGGTGAAGTGGGAGAAAATTCGTGTAAAGTGTCTTTCTCAAGGACACAACGTCGGGCCCGCGGCTCGAACCCCCGAACCCGCAACCTCACGATTACGAGTCTGTTAGCCTAACCACTAGGCCACCGACACCACAATCTCACGATTACGAGCACGGTAGCCTAACCACTAGGCCACCGACGCCACAACCTCACGATTACGAGTCCGGTAGCCTAACCACAAGACCACCAACGCCCTCTCACACATCTGTGAATTGGTTATGCGTCCACCCTTTGTGATCCCGTCAGTAGAGCTGTTTTGACTGACTTATTTCAAGCCGTGCCGCGTTTCGTAAGGCCCATAACATTGCGCTAACCAACATAAAGTGTCCGCAGAAGAAAATGGTTTTGTATAGTAAGCGTTTTGTGGCACTTGCAACTCAAGTCATAATAATCACGGTCGCTTTTAAGCACAAGGGGGCTATCCCGAAAAATGCTGTTTTGAGAAAATCGAAGGCAAAGTTCTTGGAACCTTGTTCAGTTTCTTTATAAGACAAGGAGAGTTTTCTCTATAACCTAACAAATATACACACCTATGAAACCAAACTTCTCCTATAGGTAGGGCAAAGCCCAATATTGGTGTAGGTCAAGATTTCCGGAAACCCTCGAAATCTGAGTAGCCCGCTTGTCCTTAAAAGCGACCATATAAACAATATGAATGTCAAAGATTAGAGGTGTTACAAGAGAGTAACAAAAGCAGAAAAGAAGAAAGGGAGATCAAGATGATAGATGTATATATGTTCGATAGAACAGAAGGAGCACACCGCACCAGAACA